TGCATGACTTATGCTGAAGAGAAATCGTTGAATGGTTATCGATAATTTATCGATCGAATTGCTTGCAACTCGATTGGAATTCCACGGAACTCCACAGATTGGAATTTGTGACATAGACAAGGGAAAAAGTCGTTTGCATATAAAACAATTATTCAACAGTTATCGATAGCTACCTAGCAGCAATTATCAACTTATTTCAGTACTAATAGTAAGCTTTTATAGTCTCAAATTTTATGTTGATTTATAGATAGAAAAGTGTTTTTTAATCGATAAACGATAAATAAGATCAATGCTAATAATAATCTACATATTTTCTATCTCTCTCTATACATATATATATATTTATATATATATATATCGCTCATTCTCAATTTTTCTTCATATGTCTTCGATATATATCGTAAATTTCGAAATTCTCATTTTTACTCTCTACTCAAACATAAGTTCGTTGTCAAAGTCTTTTGTTTCCAAGCAAGTTCGTGGCCTAAGTCATCTATATATATATTTCATTAATTTTTGTTGCTTGTGTTTGACAAGCGCATTTCATCAGTCTGTCAATCAGTCGTTCTACGACTCGATCAGTCAATCGCCCCTTCCTGCAGCCCAACTCTTGAAGCTCGTCGCGCAGACTTCTTTTACTGCTGCAAACACTTGTAATGCAAGACATGTCTATGTCTTTCTCTCTCTTTCACGCACTCTTTCGCGCCCTGCGTCTTCAATGCGTGTTGTAAACGAAAAAAATATATAATTTTGGTGTGTTTATTTCCTCATTTCGCTTAAATTTCTTCAGCTAGAATATCAAAAGGTTTTTGGTTTTGAGGGCGACTCTTGTTTTGGAGAGGCTTTCTAGTGAAATTGAAAACACATTTTAATAACATGCCAAAATTGAAATGCAAAGACAACAACATTGCCAGCAACAGCAACAACAAAAAAAGTTGTTGACAAAATTTCACTTTCAACAAAAAAATCAAGTGAATCTTTCAATTGGAATTGGGAATTGGTATCGGAATTTAAGAAAAGCAGAAAGAGAGAGGGAGGGAAAGAGAGAGAGAGATGAGCTGAGCTGAGTTAAGTTGAGTGTGGCGTCTCTGATTAGGCGATAACACACATTGCTCGTAAGAGGGGCGTGCCAAGCAGCAACAACAATAAGAGTCATAGAAAATTTTGATTAGCCGGAATTGGCTTTGGGCTTTGGGATAGAAGAAGGCGTAGCTCAGCTAATGAAAGTGTTTTTTCTTTTCATTATTTCGAAAACAAACGAGATATAATTGAAGCACTCTTTATTTTCCATTCCCACATATATACCCTGTAATCATAGAAGAGGGTAGTTGCAGACTTGCAACATTTTATCTGACTGTCTTTGGCTTTTATCTGTTTTTGTCTCAGAGAGCTCGAGTATTAGATCTCGATCTAGTGTCTAGTCTAGTCGATCTCGCTGTTGATTAAACCGCATTTTAAGACTTTGCATAAGTCGGAATTGTAACTTGATTCACATATAAGGTATTTTATAGTCGAGCTCTAGTCAGGAATGAATTTTAAGAGGTGCTCGACTTCTGTGCGCCCGAAAGTTTTTCACGTTTTCTTAAGCAATGGAAAATGTTGTTCATATGAAGTAATTAGGCAAAGTTTCGATTAAGATCTCAATGACTTTTCACTGTTTGCAATGAGTTGGCTTTAAGTTTACAGGCAGACGGAGCGAGAGGGAGAGAGAGGGGGAGGGGGAGAGGGAATAGAGAGTTTATATCGAACTTAAGTGCATTAAAAGTAAATCTAAATCAATTTTTTGTATTTGCCTTCTATATATAATTACAGCCAAAGATTCAGAGATAACGTCTAGATGCCTAACCTAATGACTATGCTTAGCGGTAAGTCCGGCAAGTTCGTTGCCTAAGTCTTTCGTTTCAGCTCATGAAATACAAGTCGTAATGCCTCAATGAATTGCCAAAAATCAAAGATATATATATATAGACACATATATATGTATATATAGACATATATATGTATACACATGTCGAGGAGACATTGACAGCGATTTAAAGAAGTAGCGTTACATAAAGCCAAACAAACATGACATGTTTTTCGGTGTTTTTTTTAACCGTTATTGCTCTAACCATATTTATTGATACACTCTTCGAGTCAAAAAAAAAACGGTATTAAGCGAGGAGTATATGTAGCATGATTGCCTTTGACTTCTTTCAAGTTAATATGTTAACTCATCTGGTTTATTTGTTCCATTTCAACTGAACGTTGAGGCTACAATGGAGTACGATGTTTAAATAAGTGATAAGTGATACTTCATTGCAGTTTTCCTAGTCTACGCACTAAGGAAGTTAGAGTAGGCTATGAGTAGAGTAGGGTATAGCTAGAGTGGGGCGTAGCTAGAGTAAGGTATAGCTAGAGTGGGGTGTAGCTAGAGGTGTAGAACCCTACACCTACACTAATCTCGCTAATATTACTTGAGTAGTGGATGATTCAGTATTCTCTGTACCATGGTAGGGTATATAATACTGAGGTAGGGTATCACTGGCCTGGTGTCTCAATATTCTCTATCTCGCTTGCGCCCCTACTCATATTATTTGCTTTTCCTTTTTGCTTTTGCGTGACAGACGTTGAAATATTTGTAAACCCATTCCGTTTGGGGCCTTTCGTTTGGGCAGCGACCTTAAATCGTTTTTGACTTTGACTTCAATTGGCGAACCGCAATATATTTTATTATTATTATTATTATTATTAGACTTGTTGTTGTTTTTCTTTCTTCTTTTGCTCTTTGCTCAAGCTAATTAAGCTATTTGGACTTGTTGTTTGTCTGTTTGTCTAGTCATGCATTGCAGAACTCGCTAATTCTCAGCTAAAAAAGTAAAATGAAGTCAAAATATATTTAAAATTATGTTAAAGACTTGTGAAAGAGAATGCAAAGCTAAAAGGAAACGAGTTATAGCGCGTTAGGTAGGTAGGTAATAAGCCAGTTAATTGGCGATTATCGCAAAGTTTCATAGCAGCCAGCTAACACTACGGCCTCTGGGCGTGCTATCATGACAATCACCTTGTGTTAGCAAACTATTTACTGAGTTATCAGAGTTATATATTGAGATTTCATAATTATTGATGGCGATCGTTCGACGAGTTCATCCAGCTTTGTTCGAGTTTCTGTCACTTTATCTATAGCGCTAGAGATCTATGAACTTTTTCATTTTAATTCCTACATAATCGATAACATTTTCCCTACCCATAAAATTGATAAAAATCGATATTAAAGTTTAGGTATTTTGGCTTTTACCCAAATTTGATCTATTAATTAGTGTACACAGATATCGAAGACTTCATATAGTTCCTCCCCCCATCCCTAACCTCTCCCATCTATAGCCACAAATACTAAAATGTTAGCAACATCAGCAACGATATACAGAACATCTTATAGTCATTCACTGTATTCTGCGCTCTTTGATATATGATCAGTAAATATTGGAATTTATTTTAGATCCATTTTAAGCAAAAACCCAGTAGCTTTTCAAATTAACCTCAAGTGTCAAATTTTTACTATTTCTTAAGAATTAGTTTTACATTTTAGTATGGCTATATCTTCTTTGGACAACCACTCGTAACGACCTTCGCAAAAAAGAACTTAAAATTGCCAAAAGAGAAAAAAATTGACGGAAAACCAAATCAATAAACTTTGTAACCATTTGACCTTCGTGCAATTAGTTTTGTCACTCTCTATATGCACAAATAGATATTTATGAAGGGTTTTGAGTTGAGTATGATATGATATAGACACTCTCTATTTCTGTCCTCTCCATATGTATATAATCATATTGGAATAATATCAGCTATATACCATATAAATATATGTATAAAGTATATATTTATATCTTCATCATCATTCATAGAATAAATCATCCAAGACTTAAGTTTAAAAAAATATTTTAAGCCAAGAAAACATAAGAATTTATTTACGATTTGATTTATAATGAAAGCTCTGTTACAATAAGATACATTAATTAAATATATCAGAGATGTTAAATAGCAAATATTTATCTTAGGGTATTCCAATCGTTCATTTGCTAAAGTTTTAATTTTTTTTTTGGTTTTTTTGCCACCCACTAAGCGAAACGTAAAAAATTAGCTCAGAAAAATAAAGTTTGACAATGTGCACAAGTTGCAGCGGTGCAGGCAGAGGCGTTAGCGTAGGTAGCGGCAGCAGAGTCAAAGCAGCACAGGCAAAGACAGAAAAAGCAACAAAAATGCCGGCAAAAGCAGCAGCAGCAAAGGCAGAGACAGCGCCAGCAACCACAGCAGAAAGAGCGGCAAAACTAACCGAAGAAGCAGCGGAAGAAGCAGCAGCATCAGAAGCAAACACAGTATAAGCAGAGACAGCAGATGCAGCAGCAGCGACAGCTAAAGCAGAGGCAGAAGCAACAGTAAAAACAACAGCAGCAAAATCAACGGCAAAAGCAAAAGCAGAGACGCGCAAAAGCAAAAAAAAATAGCAGCAGCAGTGGCGGCAGAGCCAGCTGAAATAACAACAAAAGCAAAAAGCAGTTGAAGAAGTGACAATCCGCTACTTTACGCTCTCTGCCAATTACACACAGCGTTTGCTCTCTCAGCTGCAAGTGCAGGCGCTCTCTCAGCTGTGAGCGCGCTATGCGCCTCTCTGTTGCTCTTGCCTATGTTAGGCACCTGTCGCGGCACGTTTGTCAACGATGCCGGCGTCTCTGTCGACGCTGACGTCGCTGCCAGTAAAGCTAAGCTCAGCTTTGCGCTGCGCTGGGCACGTCGCGATTTTTCAATGCGTTCCGAGCCGCCGATAAGAACGCACGCGAGCGACCGACTGTACCGAGCAAGCGAGATAGCTATATATAAAAGTATTCAATAAATTCAATAATTGAAACGCGCGCGCGTGTTAAATATTCCACACCATTTTTTTTTCGTTCGTTTTTGTTTGTTTTTTGTTAAGAAATATATATTTCCATATAAATATATATATGAATATAATTGTTCGAAGAAAAAGTTTTCCAAAGTTTTTTTTGTGCACTGGAAAGAAAATTGCGGCCTTTGTTTTTGGCCTAGTTAATCACTAAAAACTATTTCCACTGTGTCATGTGACAGTTCTCAAAGCCAGGTGTCGCGCCACATGCAACAAAATGTCAGCGAAAAATCAAATCAACGTCTTCATGGAGAAGTTCAATACGGTGAGTGAGAGTACGAGAAAGGAGTTCGAAAAAGTTTTGATATAGCTATCGAAAAATATAGGGCAGAAGCACATTTAGAAATGCTTAAATGAAAACATTATAAGAGAGACAAATATTTTTCAGTTTTCTTAAGATTTAAATCTTAAGATGGAGACTTCGGAAACGTTTAAGAAATGATTTGATGCTTTGACTTTATCGTACTTATGGATATTATGTAAAGAAACAAGAATTTCAAATATATTGGACTTCTTCAGACATATATTTGAAGTATCTGATCTATAAAATAGTATAATCTGTTAGAGATTTGCTTTTTACAAATTTTTATTTATGTTTTCATGATTTCATGATTTTGATTGCTTCAAAGTACTTTTTTTCCAAACCTTGTAGCCTCGAAAGTTGATCGATTTGCTTTAGGTGAATTTTTTTGGTGACATGACTTTTCCTTCGAGCATTTATTAATTTTTTATCCCCCATATGTATAATGGATGATCCATTTGACGCCCATTTGCCTAGCTCTCAGGCATAAACATGATATTTTTCCTATAATTTGTATCCTTTTTAAACGTGAATAGAAATTGAATGAGGTTCAAAATTTGTTATAGTTTTGTTAGTTCAAAGATAACATCCTACATCGTACGGAACATCCCTATTTTGTAAATCTTTGAACGAGTCAACTTCTTCTTTGACTAATTCCTAATTCAACAAATTGATCGAAAGCTTTTAACTGATTTGAATCGGATTTGAATTATTTTAAAGTAGAGTCGTGAAAGTCCGAAAAACATTTGGTTTCATCCAGTTCAGAATTTGTTGCTTGACTCATTTCAATTCTGAAAACTTAATTTTTAGTTAACTTTTACTTCAGTTCATTTCAATTCTTAGCTGAAAAGTTTTAAGATTCTGCAAAAGGTTTTGCTTTCGCTTTGTATCTTCCTTCTTGTTTAAGATTTCTTTTGTCTTTGCATTCAATGCTGCACATCAATAAATTGTAAATTGAAATTGAAATTGAAATTGAAATTGATACATTCAAATTTTGATTTGCTGCCCAAGACAGACACAAAAATGAAAGTGAAATGCGCTTCAAATTAAGTGCTTGGTCTAACGATTTGTCTATCTCTCTCTGTCTTTCTCCCTCTCCCTCTGTCTATGTCTATTTGGCTACTTCAATGAGCCGCAATTGAAAATGTCTGTTGAAATGCTGCGCACCGCATAATAAACGACGAGCACAAACAACAATTTAATGCAGCCGCAGTTGCTGTTGTTGGCGCTGCAATAATTAATAAATATTTGCGAGGTGAGAGTTGCCCAATTGATCAAAATGCTCACGCTCGATAAGTTATCGAGCACATTCACGCATATCGAATGTATATGGATTAACAAGAATCCCATTTCTTTTTAATGAGTAATTGCTACAAATGGGTTAAAAGTGAATGTAGAGTGGTGAGCAATGACTTGCAATATGTATTCGATAAGTTATCGATAGTAATTATGTATTAGTTTTAGACTAGTTTTAGAATAGTTTCAGGAAACTTTTACTATAACTAGGGCAAGTGCTGTCTATGTATTCGATAAGTTATCGATAACATACATAGAGCCAATTTTGAGTAATAAGAATACCAAAACAAGCATATCTTAGCTGTGTATTATGGGGCTTAAAAAATGACCCCTGGATGTTGTCTGACTGCTACCATGTGTGCTTAAAAAGTTATCGATTGTATTAATATGACAAATGTGTAGCTGAGTAGTATGACAGCAGCCTGAAAGGTACTACTTTGAGTTAAAGAAATAACTTTGAATAGCTGAAGCAATATGCTTTAGTAGTTTCGATCTATATAATGATGTTACGATTAGTTATCGATATCAAATATAGTTGAGCAACTAATTAGAAGTCACCGAATGTCTTCATAGAAATAGGTTTCAAATGATAGAGTACAATACTTATCTTCTTGTTGTCGATAGTTAATATTCGATAATTTATCGATAGCTCATATAGAGTTGAGATATTAGGTATTTCGAAACTATAAATCAAAAAGTTAAACTTGAAATAAAATTTTTAATGGAAAATTTTTGCAGTTTGAGAATTCCACCAATGAGATATAAAAATAAATCAAATCAATTTATGAAATGCTGTTTAGCTTTTGCCTATGGGTCAATGCCAATCAGTGGCAATGGCAACAACCGTCTAGAATAGCCAGCCAGCCAGCCAGCCAGCCAGCTAGCCACCTAGTCAAGTAATCAGAAGCTGACGTCACGATGCGTTCAGGAATCAAATGCAACCAAACTGGCAAATCAAGCTTTTATGCAACCAAAAAGTATAACTTTACAGGAGAGAAAGCCAGGCAGGCAGACGAGTAGGCTAATTGCGAGGGGAGGCAGTGGGAGTGGGGTTGTGATTACGGCATTTGAATTCTAGCGCAGCTTGCGGTAGTTGACGTCACAAAACGAATGACTTAGACAACAAACTTGAGCGTGTGTGTGTGTGGTCAAAAACGGGGCATTGGCAAATGCCGTTAACGTGTGCACCCAGACTCACGGAATAAACAATCAAAATTTATTGAATTAAGCGCAACTAGTATCTGTGCAAATTGTGAATATCTGAAAATCTGTTAGCCCATGTCAAGTGAAAACCTGTTTGCGTCTGAAACTTCTTCTCAGCCGTCAAGCTTAGCTGGCAGAGATTGTGATATTCTTGCAGAAGTGAGCGACAAGTGCTTACAGTTGGCTCGTCAACCAGTCAGTGCAGTCAGTCAATCGGTCAATCAGTCTTATCTATGATTTGTAAAGCAATCGTCAAATGCTCACTGACTGGTTATCAGTTGGTCATCCAGTTGGTGTATCAATTAGTTGGGAATCAGTCAGTAAGCACTAAGTTAGTCGTAGATCAATCAATCAGTCAATCAGTAGTTGGTTAGTGATGCAATTCGACATCCAGTCAATCAGTCAGTCACTTGCCAATCAATCAGTCGGTCAAATAGTAAATCTGTCAATAAGTCATAGTAGTCAGTCAGTCAATCGTTTATCAATCAGTATTCAGTCATCACTCAGTCACACATTCACACAATCAATCACAAGCTATGAAACAAGTGCTCTCAATTGGCTAATGAGTCATTAGCCAGTCAATCAACCAATCAGGCAACCAGTCAAGCAGTCAACAAGTCAAGCAGTCAGTCATTCAATCAGTCAGTCAAGGTTGTTCAGTCTATTTTAATAACATGGGCAAAAAATGCGACTTAATTGGCGTCACAGGTGTCAAGTGCGTAGGGGGGCTGTAACTAAACAATGTTGTTAACGTACTCGCCCCTAAATATGTCAGCTAATATATCAACTTTTAACACTAGGAAGTTGGTCTATAAAGTGCTTTTATGGATAGCTAAAGTACAACTAAACAAAGGCAACTCGTTTGATTACAACTTGATTTATGCTTATGTTAACAGCTAACAGCTAACAGCTAGCAGCTAAGCTAGTTATATTTAATTAATATATCCATATTAAGAAAGAAGTTTTTTAATGAGAAACAATTTAAATATGTATGCAGACACACACAGATACACATCCATATAGAACATTCATGTCATGTGACGTCTGCATTGGGAGTTTTGATAGAATTCGCCTAGACAATGTCAAGGGAATGAGATTTTGGTGCTATTAGATTCTTTTACTATCAAAGTTACAGTGAAGGGATATCGATGAATTATATCGATAACAAAATATAATAAGTTGACTCTTTTCGATTTTGTCCTTCTCTAATCAATATTATTGAAAGTTAGTGAGTAATAACTTGGCTATATTAGTCATATAAGTCAAATCGATAAGTTATCGATAACAAATGCAGTACTGCAGCTAACTACTTATGCATTACTTCCTATGTATATATATATATATATATATATATATATATATATATTTATATCTATTGTAATGCGCATTGAAATGCGCATTTAGATAGCATTACGCATACGCCTCGTGGTGCCTGCGGTTTTTCATTCTGTAAGCGAAAACTAACCGCCAATGCCAAATGAAAATGCTTCCTCAACCAATGGATCCGACTTTCAGATATTTTGAGATGCTTGATAAACCTCGAAAGGAACCATTTCAAGTTCTCTTTAGGCATTTGCCCAGACTTGGCTTTTTTTATCGTGCGGAGGCAGTTCGAGACGGCGCAATTGAATTCTTGTTTGTCAATCGAACCAGCAAAACAGTTGGCTGATTTGGCAAATATCTATATATATGTGTGTGCATATATATCTGTATATGTACTTATAGCTGTAAACTCCTCCAATTATGGCATAGCTCTGACCCATATTGTAAAGCGTTGACCAACTCGTTGGGTGCCAAATACGGAAGCCAAATGTAAGGCTAATGAATTGAAAAGCAAAGTAAAACCAAACTAAAAAAAAACGAAAATTTCCCAACAAGTGACAGTGAACAACTCGAAGATACCCTGGAATCTTACTTATTAAAATGCTAACTGGTAAAGCTGGATGCCCTAGCTAAATCTATACACCAAACTTCTTGACTCAAGACACTAAATATGCTTAAACGAAATTAATTTTGAAATCGATTTTAATAGATTTGATAGAAACACAAAAGTTTGGCGATGAACAAATTTGATCACCTGTCCCATACGCCCAATGTACTCCGTTTGTGTCCATGTGCAAATTGAGTGAAGCGAAAGAGAGAAAGAAAAAAACCTGTGAATTTGAATTTGACACGCTGTTAAAAAGTTGTAATAATAATTTCCTGACTCTGATTTGCATGGTGCAAGTTTTGTTAAACATACTTAATCATTGCTACTTTATGTCGCATTGCCTTTGGCGCCCTCCCCGACTTGCGGACCACCTACGCGACTTGACTGACGTCTGTTGCTCTTCAATTAGTATAAACTCTGAAAGACGTCTCGAAGTATCTCTGACCCTATAAACAAATCAAGAAGGAGTTACACTTTTGTTGTATATGACACGACAACTTTTCATCTTTATGAGCAAATATGCAATAGTCCATATAACACTTAGTATCTGTCCGAGCTATGTGACCTCATTGTTGTCAGGCGCCCAAAGAGCTTTGATATATGGCGACTTGTTTAGCCACATATGAGTGTATGTATATTCATGGACAAGTTAGTTTATCATTTGCTTTTTTTTATAACTTATCCGTACGTTTTACTTATTATCGATCGAAATCGATAACTTGATTGAATACCGTTCCCGATATCTCCCCAATAGGCAGACCGACTTTGATACATTTAGATGTTATCACGCTCTGAAAGTTTCACTCTGAAAGTGCACTTAGAACAAAAGCCATTCTGCAGTTAAGTTCCCATAGTAGAGCTCACTGGAGCGCAGTCAGCTGAGATGTGTGTTTGTATGTCATGTTTGTGTAACAGAAGCAAAGAATGATCGGAATAACACCTCTGCGCAGGGTCAAGGTATTTGCTAGTCGAGCACTGCTGACTGGAGCAGCGCTTGTCCAAATTGTAGCAGCAGCGCCACAGCTGGAGCGAAAGTCTACACAAAAGTTTGATAACAGATATTTATGTATATTAGACTAATTTTTTATTGTTTTATGCATTGTTTTCGGTTTGGTTCTTGTTTTTATATATAAATATTTGTTTGCACAAGTGTTGATAAGCAGCCGTGACTTTCCTAGCGTTCTCCCCTTGTTCTTGAGTCGTTAATCTCAGTGTCAAGCATATTTGCTGAGCCAGCGGCAAACATTGTTTTTGCTTCTCTATTTAAGTTAGTTTCTTGCTTGAGATGCTCGAAAACGGTTTATTTTGCAATTTTGATAACGGCTCGGTGCAAACTAAAAATGGTCCGAACTTTGCGTATTAAAATTAATTCAATTTGAACGGAAAAATAATTTGAAGAGCGCATCGAACTCACAACTTTGAAGTGTATAAGAAGCTCTTGTGTAAAACGTAAAAAAGAAACGAAGTATGTTTAAATATAGCAACTAGAATGGCTGTACATCAACTTGTTGATATTTCGAACCAAATAATATCTGATAATCATCGAAGATCTTCTTCAGCTTTGCTAGCTCCCTCAAGCAGTTCTGCAAAGTGCGTTGAAATTTTTGCGTTAGCTTGTGAAATTTGTTTCTAAATCTTCTTAACAAGCTACGAAGGCGATGTCGTCGCTTGTTAGAGTATTTGCCATGAATTTTCCCTGCCATACGCATCTTATTCCAATTGTTGATCTTAAGTATTTCTAAAATGAAAAGAGAAATAATTTTTACAAATTTTAGCAAATTTATTTTTTTATATATTTCTATAGCTTACGCTCTGCTTTGTTCTAGCTTATATTTAATACTGATTAATTTGTGTGCTCTGTGAAAACAAAGGAAAGCATTTCACAGCCTGCTTGAAAACGAAAAAAAAAAACCAAAACTGTTCTCTACGAACTCGACTTGCAATGCAGCTAAGCTAATGGAAATTGGTGTCACCACGTACTTGGCTTAATATCTTTTATAGTTGCTATATGAACAATCGAATGAGACTGAAGTTTTTGTATAGAAAATGTAGCTTGCGTGAGCATTGAGTTGACATATTGTATAGGCGCAGACTCTATTTATATCCAGTTTATTTACCCACAAAGCTATTCCATAAGAACTCAGCTGTCAGTGCATATTTGATATATGTTGAGTCAAGGCAAATCGGTTGACTATATCACATGGCTGTCCTATAATGAATCACTCGAATATTCAGTTTTATACCAGAAACACTTTAAGCTTATCTTTGCAAAGCCTAACTACAGTGCATCTGTTGTGGGATGGTATGGAAATGTAGTTAAAGATATTACCAAATAATGTTTATGGTAGCCAAGCTAAGCCGATGAATCAAAAAGTTTTTATGGCGCATAAAATTGTGATTGATTGGAATGCCAATATCTAGTGGGGCTGCGGGGTCAAGTAGCTGGGTAAAAGTTTCGATACGAGGAGCACATGAAAATTGGCAATGGAGAATGGAAGTGAAAAGAGAAGAAGAAGCAGCAGCAGCAATAGCAGCAGCAGCAACAGCGGCAGCATGGGCAGGTGTAGCTTAAAGATTTCACCTAACCAGCAGCAACTCGTAGAAGAAATCGCCAACTTAATTTACAGCATTCAACGATCTATGCAATCTTCTGCTTTGTTTTGCTTTCTTGGCGCTTTTTTCTTCTTTTTTTTTGTCGCCTTTTGAAAAAACATTTTCACTTTCGTTTTCAATCTCTGTGTGTGTTTGGTTTTGGTTTTGGTTTGTTTTTTTTTTTAGCCCGGGCCAATAATCACAATAATCGTGGTAAGCGGGCAGTCAGTCAGGCCAGCCAGGCCAGGCCAAGCCAAGCCTCGGGGCTACACAGAAACGAAAAACTGGTTGCCAACACTTGGCCGGATGCTTGGAATTTTCGGATGCCGAACGAAAGTGAAAACACCGCCGCCAAGAAGCCAGATGAAATCCAAAAGAAAAAAAAAACGCCAAGCAAGAAAAAGAAAAAAATTGAATTTAAATAAATTACGTATGTTAATTGCGCAGCCGGTCAAGAAAAACTGTTCGAAATCAACTCCCGAAACTGAGACCGTTTTTTGGTTTTTGTTGCTGTTTCGGTTTTAGCTACGCGAATTCGGCTTGCGGCTTGCTTGAATTAATGAGGGTCAAGACACTTGACTTGGCTTCGGCTTTCTACTCTTGCCGCCAGCTTCATTATCAGCCAGATCATTATCATCCTTATCTCTGAGGTTATCGCCAGCCACAAGTGCTTTATCAGCAGCTTCTTTATCAAACCGATCATCAGCATCATCTGCGTCATCTTCTGTTTTATTTTCTACTCTTACCGCCAACATCTTTAGCAGCTTGATTATCATTAACTTCATCATCATCAACAGCAGCAGCAGCATCATCTTCTGCTTTATCAGTGGGTTTTAGGCTTTCTACTCTTGCCGCCAACATCTTAACAGCTAGATCGTCAGCTTCATCTTCATCTTCATTTTCATCATCATCAGCAGCTTTATTGACACCTTGTTGCAGGTGGCAGCGCGAATTGTTTTTTTGTTTCTTTTTGCTTATTGTGGTAGCAGCAGCTATACCCAGACGCCGCCCAGCTACAGCTTAATATGTATGCAACTAATTGATACCCTGTAGATGCAGCTGACTCTGTTATACTCTCTACTGAGATCATTTTTTTATATTTCTATTCACTGCTAAACGATATTGTGCTAGGAAGTTATCGATCAGTTGAAACTGAAACAAAATGTGGCAGATAAACAAAGTAACAGAAAGTTTTTGAATAGTTTGTAGCATTGCCAAGTATATCCTCCTCTGCCGGTTATAAACCGGTTCACAGAATCATCATACCTTATTTGAATTCACTTTCAGGCTAAGAGTTGCCTACCAGCAGCTACCAAGATCGATGGTCAAGCACGTGGCTTCAGTTAATGAAAGCGCATTGTTGTTACACCTTTTGCTATCTCCTCTCTCGCTCCACTACGTCATCAGCTTTGCAGGCAGAGTTGCCCCAGCTCGAAGGAGTTATATTTCATGTCTAGATGCTGGCAGCAATCAGCGATCCATTTGTTTAGTTGCCAAAAAGTTGACCTTCTTCTTCAGCTCCTCTGGAGTTGGAAGCTCTATATCCTGTTTACGCTTAACTGTAAACATATACATAACAGCGTTTTTGACAGAGTTGACTGGCGTGAACTTTCTTGAGGCATTTCGCATCTGTGGTATCATTAGCTGCGCTTGTCTATGATTAATTGCGTTTGCGTTTCAGGGCAACTACTGTCAAAGGCCTTGACGTTTTTGTTAGCTCGCGACAGACTATGACACAGAGTCCATAAGAAGTTGAAGTCGAAGTCAAAGTCATTTGGCCTTAAAAACCAGAGTACATTGACTAGAAAATACTCTATCTATATATGCTCTTTGGTTCTTTTTTGAATAAGAAGAGCTTTAGCTGCCTGAAAAACTTGGATTTTTTCTTGTTTATTTCCTCGAGTTTCATGCTTAATGAAGTTGAATTCCTAAGAGTTTTGAGCTTTAAGTTGTTCTATCTTCTATTTCTCAATATACTCTACCGCATTATTAGCTCGCTTTAAGTCTTTCAGCTGCTCCCCAACAACTGTCATGAATGTTGTCTTTGACAATGTTCTACTTAATGATAAATGAATGCAGCTTTAAGGCATTTAATGAGATAATCTTTTATAATAAGCTGGCCATTATAAATATTATACGAGACCCACGGACAAAAGACTTGGAACACAAACTTGACTGTCAATTCACTTTTCGTCGTGGAATTGTTTGTCTTTAATCTGAACTATTATCGCATTTAAGAGTGGAAAATGATCTCATAATCAGTTTTGTATCGAATCCAGCATCAGCTCTAAAGGCCAATTGAACCAAGCGGCTCGTTTAGTCAATTAAATAATCAAAAAAAAAATATGAAAAAAATTAAACTTGTTTTTTTTTTCTTTCTTTTTTTTTGGTACTTTTCTTAAACTTTTCTTTTCCGCTTGTTGAAGCCGGCTTGTTTCCCCGCTCTCTCTCTCTTTATACCCTGTGAATATCATTTAAAAAAAGGGTGTGTTGGTATATAATCCGAATTATAGAATCAAGAGTCTGTCCACATGTATGAGATTATAAGATCTTAGTATTAAAGTATAACAGTATGAAACTAACAAAATATAAGCGCTTTTAAGGGTATAGGTATAGTATAAGAGCGTATAATGATAGGAATAAGAATATAAGAGTTTAAGCTTATAAACATAGGAGAGCATGCGAGTAGAAAGGCAACGAGGTTAATTGTATAAGAGTAAAAGCGTATAAGAATACAGGAGTATGAAAGTGTACAAGTCAGAGAATAGATTAGTAGAAGAGTAGAAGTGTTTACTGGTATAGGTGTATAAGAGCTAGCTGACTGGTATAAGATCAGGCTTAGTACAATGCAATTTTCAGCAAATTGACTAAAATCGATAGTCATATACTTCCAATTTCTTATAGCTGATCCTTATTAGTACAAAAATCGATCAAAAATCTTCGCATCAGTTGTCGAAACTCATTTCATATAGATAGAGGCGAGCATATTGTAGAATCAGCTGGATATCTTTGATATTTACTGTGCACTTGATATCTACAGGGTATAACTGAGTCATTCACTGGCTGAGGGAGCACTCTTTTTTGTTGATTTTGCTATGCATTGTTTTGAATTAATAATTTATATCGATTTTTATAAGCGCCCGCGGCGCACATCAATTGATTTAACGGATTAGCATGCACACACACACACACACACATGTGTGTATAAACTCTTGTTGTCTTTACTTCTTCTCTCTCCACTTTACAAGTTGATTTGCAATTTATGAAACGCGTTCCACAAACGAGACGAAGAGACGAAAGTAAAAGTTCAATTAAATAAAGATAAATTGCACAACAATTGTTGTTGCTTGTTATTGTTGCTGTTGTTGTTGTTGTTGTTGCTTGTTGCCTGTTGCTTGTTGTTAACTCCGCTCTGGTCCAATTCCATTGCGCAGCTTAAGTCAGTTCAGTTTCAGTTCATGTCCATGTCTCCATTTATTTTACGTAAGCTTCAATAAAAATGCAAATATAAATTCCAAAATTAAAAACAAGAAACAAAAAAAAACACTTTAGTGCCTGCCCTTACAGCTGTCACGCCCACAAATTTAGTTGTAAACTTAGTAAAAAATATATCTATAAACTATAATCGATAGTCCAGACTCCAAATCGATATTTTGTATATGAGAAGTGGAAAGGGAATATACAGTTGGCTAGACAAGCAGCGAGACAGACAGGCAAATATGCTTGTTACATAACGCTTCATAGAATCATCATACCCGGCTTGAATTCACTTTCAGATTGAGTGCTGCCTACCAGCAGCTACCAAGATCGATGGTCAAGCACGTGGCTTCAGTTAATGAAAGCGCATTGTTGTTACACCTTTTGCTATCTCCTCTCTCGCTCCACTACGTCATCAGTTTTGCAGGCAGAGTTGCCCCAGCTCGAAGGAGTTATATTTCATGTCTAGATGTTGGCAGCAATCAGCGAGCTGTTTGTTAAGCTACCAAAAAGTTGAACTCTGCTACTCTAAAAATGTATCTAAATCCATCAACTCATGTTGCTTCGCATTGATTGAGTTAGGTTGGGTCAGGTAAGCCGAGGTGTCCCATCATGAAGCTTCTGTTAGCTTATGTTATATGTTGTTAATTTATGTTACAGTTATCTAAAACAAACTATATAATATATGTATAATAAAAGAGAGAAGTCAATAGAAAAGTAAACAAAAGGCCAATGCCTTTAACATGACATTTAAATGGATTTTTCTTTA